TAAATGTTATCAAACTGAGTGCCATTCTTGCATAATCTGACTTTTTATCTTACAACTCTGCAATTTCCCAATAATTTATTAGAATTTATCTTTTGGTGATTATTCTAAGTAATTTGTCGTGAGTCCATATACACTGCAAGGTTCCCAAAAAAGGGCAACAGTTTGGTTTATCTAAGTAAATAGGTACTTTAGGAGTTTTCCATTGGATCATTACTACAGTGATTTATCTGTTTGGGCTGGCAACAGGTTGCCGTTGTCGTGAAAAAGATGGGTTGAATTACTGGCCTGCATCAAGCTACTAAAATGTACTTACTATAACTACAGAAATCATATTAAGAACGGTGCACGGCATTACTACCATCAACTTCGAGGAACAAATATGGTCAGAAAAGAAAACTCGAATGATCAAACGGTCAGAGATTGTTTAAATATTTAGTGAAATCAAATTGTAAAGCAAATCAACAGTAGAACCTGCAGCTTTGTTTATGGTTACTGATGAAAGCAAGAGTGTGTTTCCAGAAGCAAAATGTGAAGAGAACTCAAGGGAATGGGACTAAACAGCTGTGCAGCCTTAAGAAAACCACATATCAGTGGAGAAAAAAAAAGGCTTCTATTTGCCTATAGAGCATAAAGATTGGACTCTGGAGCAATGGAAAAGGGTCGTGTTGTCTTTTATTGCATCAGGATAAGAAGACAAGGGATGAAGTGATGCAACCATCATGCCTAATACCGTCCAAGCCTGTGGGGGCATGCCTGCCCAAGTGTTGCTGGGGTTTCTTGTGGACGAGTGGTGCAGGGAACATTAAATATCATTTTCACACATGGACTGGCCACCATGGATTCCAGGCTTTAACCCCACTGATCATGTTGTGTATGTGCTGGAGAACACTTTGCGCAGCGGTCCGACTCCCTCATAAGTACAAAATCTTGGCGAACAATTAACGCAACTCAGGATGAAAATTAATGTTGTGACACTGCATAAGCTTGTTGAAGCGATGCCAAGACAAATGCATGCATTACAGCTAAAGACGGTTCAGTGAAATATTAGAATGTGTGACTTTTTTGGCTAGAGTACATACAGAGTCTAATTCTAACTTGCACTGATTTTTAAGGTAGTTTCAAAACCTGCTACAGCTGCTGTTTAATAGCTTCATCTGTTGCAGTCTGGTGACTATTGTATCAAAAATTATCAAAAACCTTTGTACATGATTATACACAAAGAATCACTGATTTCCAAGCTATGTGAATGACAATCAGTTTTTTGAGGGGCTCAAAAAGTATATTCCCTATAATTACACAAAATTGCACTACATCCTGTAAGATACATTATTTTATTTTGGGGTTTTTTTCAGTTACCATATCCAAACTTACCTTATAACAAGTAATTTAATATGGTTGCTTACTTCCTTTTTAAAGGGAAACCAATCATCCCCAATATTAAGATTGCTTCTTGTTAGGTTTGTAAATAAAACCAAATACATTTTGAATAGATGCTTTTGTGGCTTTAATATTAAAAAAAGTTAGCGTTGTTAGATCTGAATTGTAGCAGAGCATGTCCCTGAATGGCTTTGGCCACATAGAATGAAGGTCTGATGGAGGGCCGGCAGACCAAAGAGGATCAGGGGCTTGCAGGGAGATGAAGCGAATCTGGAGCACAAAGAGGATGAAGTTAACACTAGGATTTCACACTGAAGAAAACTGAAAGAGTTTGCCTTAAAACTTTTTGTACTCAGACAATGGTGAGAGGAACACTCTGGTCTGACACGCAGGTATTACACTGAGTGTGCTGCCTTTGTAATACAGCAGGGTTTATATCAGAGCCTGAATGATATAGAATTTTTGAGACAGAAACCAATACCAATATTTGGTGATATAAAATATTCTGATATATCCTCCTGAGAACCAAGGAAAAAGGGATCTTCCAAATTAATTTTTTTGTGTGTGATTTCCTTCCTCTTTGGAGCTAAAAGAGGCCCAAACACATGAGATATCAATGGAAGATGTCCTCTATTTAGTGCATCAGGACTTAGTAGGGTAGCTCAAATAAGTCAAACGATATCTAGACCAAAAACAAATGTCCATTACAGAGGACATAAATGAATAGGCTGGTTCTCAGGCCGCTATACTTGTTTATGCTCAGCCCGCCTCTGCTCTGATCAGCTGGTTATTGTTGCTGGAAGTTGACAGGAAGTGCCTTCTAGTGGACAAACTATGCAACATTAACACTCATGACATAGTGGACTGGTGTTTCTCCTGTCACTTATTTACTCTTTAAATTTTTTATTTATCAGCTGTTATAAATTCAGACATTGATAGATCAGCATCGCCATATTGGCCAGAAATAACAGCCTGCTGCTAAGATTGGCCCTCTGATAAATCTTTCAGACTCCAATACATGGCACTGCCAATAGGATAACACTTTTTACACACACACCATATGAGAGCACACATATTTCAAAGCCTGTTGCCCACCGCTGCACACTATTCCAAGGAGACATGTCAGTTAACCTGGGAATTGTAGCACACATCGCACACCATGTTCTGGTTTGCACACAAACACAGATGAGGACAGAAACATTCTACATCCTTAAATGCCTACAGTAACATTTCTTTTCTTGCCTTTGAACTTCACATGCAGGCCTTATAATCCACGAAGGATCATCTGTCTACCGGATCTTTAAGCGCTGGCAGGCGGTGAACCAGAAGTGGAAAGTGCTGAATTATGACAAAGCAAAGGACTTAGGGGATCCCATCAGTTCCAGCAGCAAAAGCACTGTTCGAGTAGAGAGGAACTCTTCTCACACTGTCACAGACAGCAGCCGGAGGGCAAACCGCCATATCAGGACTATTCTCAACCACCACTGTGGCTACACTGTTTTACATTTCCTTAGCCAGCTAAGACCCAACAACTTGCACAGCAGCAACCATGAGGTGGTCATGAGAGTGACCACCGTATGAAGCTGACTAAAGTGCTGTAATGTTTAAGGAGGAGAAAAGTGTTGATTGGGGTTTAATTAAATAAAATCCCAATCTGCCATATAAACACTGCCGTGAACTTCCACTTTCATATTTCCTTCTCAGATTCTGCTGGAGTTAAGGATGAGTATTACCTATTTTGTGAGAAACTTGAAGTTTTTATTTGAGACTTTAAATGTGAAGCCTGTGAATTGAGAAAAAAAAAAGATTTTGAACAGATTCTTTCTTAAAGCAAGTAACCATTTTTAACACTATGACTAAGGTTTCAAAATGTAACCAAACAAGTTTGTTTTACTTAGAAAAGAAAAGAAAAAGTTGGATTTGGATTTGTTTTTAAGGTTGATTAGGATTTGACAATGTAAGTGAGAGTTTGATGGTGATAATGATTGTGCTTCTACGTATGACCACTGTAGCAGTTCCCCTTCTAATGTTTCTGTGTATGTCTGAGGGTTTGCCATGATCTTGGCAACTTGTGCTGTTTTCACCTAAAGTTGAACTGATGGATAAGTCAAGAAAATGCCCAATAAAACTTTAGGATGTGTTAAAAGTGCATAGAATGTCACATTTTATTTTCTAGGTTTTGTCTCGTCTCAATTTAGGAAACAAAGATCTGACTGTTTGATGCTTTAAACGTTCAATTGTCAGTAAAAATCCTAATATTAAAAAAATGTGCTAACCAAACTGAGTAAACTGAGGATGCACATGAGTCAATACATGAGCACAGCTCAGCAAGGCATTGGAAATAACACCAGAGGGCCAAAATGGAATTCATTGGGATTGTGGAAAACAACACTCCAAGGCAAATCGCACCAGTCCCTTGTCCAGCCCACCAGGATCCACAGTAAAGACATTTGGATGTCATTCTGACTGAATACATGTGGCCCCTAAGAATCAGATCTATAAAGGCAGGGGTCTACCACAGCCAGCTGCACCCAAGTTGCAGATTGTACAAAGGTGCTGTGTGGCTGAGATAGTGTACAAGAACATCTCTGCCACATACGGGAGACACCACCAAAGGTGCTAGGATCCTGTGGGACTTCCAGACAGACAAGCAGCTGCTGGCGAGTCAACCAGGCACAGTGGTGGCTGACAAGGAGCAGAAGACCACAGCTGTGATAGATGTGGCCATCCCAGTGGACAGCATAGAGAACAGAGAAGTACTAGGGGCTTGAAGGAACCACTGATGCAGATGTAGAAGACAAAGTCAAAAGTGGTCCCAGTAGTAATGGGAGCACTAGGAGATCAAACCCAGAAACTGGAAGATAAGATTCTAAAAGGTTCCACGCACAACATCCGAGGTTTCTGTGCAGAAGACAGCAGACCAAGGAACAGCTAAGATACTGAGGATCAGCTCCCATTGGGTCAGAGGCAGAATTTTCTGATACCCTATATATAGCCACATAACTGCAGAATGCATGAAGAGAAACAGAACTTTAATGTCATTTCATCCATCCTACAACTAGGGAGGAGTTGTATTTTTACACTTACGTTTATCTTTGTGCAGGTAAAATTTGTTTACATATTTTTGTGGTTTCTGTAATAGATCAGTAAACATTAAAAACAACACAAATCACTTGAAAACAAAGAAACTGTAATGTTGAGTTTTTCAGCCGGTATCAGCAAACCTGGCAACCCCGAGCGGACGCTTGGTGATGACGAAAGAACCCTGCGACTAACAAACAGAGTGGAAACAAGCGTGAGTGAGCGCAGATTCCGGCAGTTTGTTCATAACTGGGTGAACATCCTGAATATCGTCGGCATTAACATCTTTCCTTTGATCCATCATGGCTTCGTCCATGCCGCAGAAGCGTTACTACAGACAGCGAGCCCATTCAAACCCGATGGCGCACCACACCTTTGATTAGTGAGTGAGCTCCATGTGCACGGCTCTCTGTGAGCACGATTAGGTGTTTCTGAGTGTTTGGATTGGTGTGAGAATAAAACAAACAGATAACGTAAAAGAAACAGGAAATAGAGGATCGCTGCTGATGGATCCTTTATTTTCAAAAGGGGTCTGTCTTCCGCAGAATACGATTCAATGGAAAACTGTTTATAGTGATGTACTTTCTCCTCCTGCTCTTCAGCCCTGTGTGTCCTGATAAAATGGACTGGTCCAAGCTGTATCCAGACTTATTCACTGGCAGCCTGAGTGAGACAGAGCCCCCTCGAGTCGAGTTTGCTGACATTGGATGTGGATATGGGGGGCTTTTAGGTACTACACACAGCCTGTGTATAAAGACCACATTCAGCCTTTTATTGCTCCGTAATCTACATCATGTTTGTGTCTTTATTTTCTCTGCACTCCAGTGGAGTTATCTCCACTCTTCCCAGATAAGCTCATCCTGGGTATGGAGATCCGGGTGAAAGTGTCAGATTATGTTCAGGATCGTATCCAGTCGCTGCGTGCCTCAAATCCAGCGAGCTACCAGAACATCGCCTGCATTCGTAGCAATGCCATGAAGTACCTCCCCAACTTCTTTTGTAAAGGACAGGTGGGTTACTGCTGTTTAATGAATCAGCACGGCAGAGGTGTCTTTTGGCTTAACTCGCTCAGTAATTCCTGCAGAAATATTTCGCTTCGAGCTCACAAAAATGCTGCAGATTAGTCCCCTAAAAAATGTTCTTGGTCTCTTACCCGCATAAAATGGATTAGTGAAAAAGGTTAAGTATGAGGGCATTATAAGGCAGCAGTGTGATTTAAGAAATTAAAAAGGGAACATTATTAATTTGGTTTAATTGAGCTTTTTGTTGGAATTCGTATTAGAACTCTTAAATTTCCAAAGCTGGCTCAGGCTGGCTTCAATCAAACATAATGCAAAATGTTAGAAATCACTTCTGGATCAGTCGCAGTTTTTCACTTTTGTTTTTAAAGAAATTAAAAGCATTTCAAACACATTTGACATATCAAATTAGAATACCTTTCCCCAAATATCAAACACATTTAAAATGAAATGTTCAGTTCTTGAATAAGATAATAACACTGGATGTCGGTGTCTGCGGTGCGGCATTCATCTATAACACAGTTTATATGTAGTTCTTACACTTAAATCAGACCATCAAGATGTGAATGAAGTGCAGATTTTTAAGGTTTAACAAAAAGTTTGCATTAACTGTTTAGGAGTTACACGTATGTATGCGTCATCCTCATTTTCAGACACTTAAAATAAACTGAACAAACTAGCGTGACTTTAAATGGGATTTTTGAAGTGTAAAACTCTCAGACATGACCAAATTCTGTGTTCTCTCCCTTGAGATGCTCTGCTATGAGTTCATCCTGCTGGTTCTGTCAGCAGTCACGTCATCAAGAAACACTAGACTGATATGCTTCGGATCATGAGCCGTTTCTCTCAATCTCCGTACGTTTCTCCTTCCATCATTCTGGGAAGTTGTTTTTCTAAACCATGGAAATAATTCTGTCCTCATGAGCTTTAGTCGTCTTCTGTGGTCTTTCATTTTTGCTGACCTTGTCCAGTGCATTCAGTCTTTTTAAGAATGCACCAGATTGTTGATTTGGCCACTCCTGAAGTTTATCTCTATCTTTCTGATGGGTTTATTTTAGCTTTTCAGCCTAATGATAACCTCCCTCACTGGTATTTCTTTAGCGCTCATAAAAATTCAACACTTTGAATCAACTTAAGACATTCTGTCTGCTTCACTTGTCACAAAATAACAGAGAAAACAGGCCTCACATAGAAATTAAGCTGCTCATCAGCCAATTATTTTTGAGTCTCTGTGTATATAAATAAATGTAATTCCTATTTTTGTTAAATCCCTTAAATTAAAGCTGAAACACTGCACTTCAGTCACATATCGGTTGCCTTATTTAAATTTGTGGTGGTGTACAGAGGCAAAAATAGAAAAACGTTCTTTCTTTCTTTCTTTCTTTGTGTGGATATTTACCAGCTGGCATATAAATACTCCCAAAAAATTGATATCAGCATCAGCTGCAAAAATCTACATTTCAGCTTCTACAATTCTCTAGCAAACCTAAAGAATATGACTGCGGCACCATTTTTGTGGCACTAATGCATTTTATGAATAGAGGAAAAACCACATGCACCTACCTGATATATAGGGCCAGCATTGATATGATTATGTGCAGGTTATTGAATTAGAGCACATATACAAACCTGACCTTTTTTTTTTTAAATGGCTCAGCCAACGTGGGCTTTAAAAACGTTAAATTGACGTCTGTGCTGGACATGCCAAGGTAATAAGAATATGCACGTGTTCAACATATGGACTGAATTAATTTATACAAGGTCCAATAAATCCAGGGATTTCACAACAATGGGGTCATTGACTGACATCACATCAGCTGAGCGAGACGCCTTTTATCCGGCCCAATTAGCTGCAGCGCTCTGACTTGTTGAAACCCGCATTAGACTGCTCAGTGGGCTTAGTGTACCAGGGTTCATTCAGGTATCCTGCATAAAAAAATTCACCTCAAATGCCCTGTGTGGGTATCAACTAAAGGAGGAAAAAGAGGCGTAACAGTGACACGTTTATGGAGCACAAATCATGAAGGTGTTTCATATAAAAAACATGCACATTTGTTTAATGTATTTATATTTTAGTGTGCAATTTCAGGTCATTTAAAATAATAGGACATGCTGGAAAAAGTTGGGGCTTTGAACAGTGCTAAGAGCAACTTTGCAGAGCTTCAGTGCCTCTAAGCATTAATACCTCTTGGCTCATATTTTTCCCAGAGCTGAACAGTGCAGCTGCATCCTCCTTTAACGTTGGGTGTCTACCTTTTCTTACAATAGGCTCAAAATCATTCAAATTTTAAAGTGACAGTATTAAGTGAAGACCACCCAGACTAGAAATGGAAATCTAGCCACAATCCTTCCCACATGCACGCCGTGTTTCAAGTGTCGGAACAGTGTATTCTAAAAGATTCAAACTCTTTGTTTCCTCCCTCTTGTTGGTGTGTTTTGTAACCCAAAAATAATTCAGTTCTTTGAAGGTTTTTCCACCTTCTGTCAGCACTGAAGGAGCCCCTGAGGCTGTAGCCGTCCCCGGTGATTATCCCCACAACTCTCTGTCTGTACCTGATGTTATTTATTTTAACTAATAAAAAGTGACTGGAAGTATTTTTAATATATCAGCCAGACAAATATGAACAGAGCCTGCACTTGTACACTTGTCAAGGACGGAGACACGGGGAACTTTGTGGGAAGAAAAGGGAAAAAAAAAATCAAGGAGGGAAATTCCACTTTTCAATCCTCAGCGTAAAATTCAACAGCATATTATGGGGGCCAGATTTGCTCACCTTTTGTTGTGTTGCATGGCTAAATATAGTTGAATAAAACTGCCTACACTTTGTTTGGTCCTTGCTTGTGTGACTGTCACCGTGTTGTTTCTGTCTCTCAGCTCACTAAGATGTTCTTCCTCTTCCCTGACCCTCACTTTAAGAAGACCAAGCACAAATGGAGGATCATTAGTCCCACTCTGTTGGCAGAATACGCCTACACGCTCAGAGTAGGGGTATGTATTTGAGTTATGCTTATTCCAAGTTTTTAGTGAACATTAGTGCATCATTTATCAGACAAAAATGTAAAACATTGTCCTTCTTCCAGTTTTCTTTCAATGTAATTAAAACCTGACCGATATCGGATATTTAAGACAAATACCGATATTTAGGGATGTAAGAGAATCTGATATAACAGCTAATGCTTGTTTTGTTTTTTGCTTTTAGACATAACAGATTTGTTATATGTAGTTATTTATGAATTCTTATTAAGATGATATGATAATTGCATTTAAACATAATCTTTTTTTATTGCTACAATAAGTTGGATTGCTCACTGACGCTCTGCTCGACACTGCTTGGATCAGCGGGTTGTCGTGTATGTGGCGTTCCGAAAACGTGTTGCCAACAGGGAATTTGTAGAGTGCCCTTAGGTGGGCAACAGGCCATTATAAATGCAGATACCAATGAATCAACAAATAGAAACTATCAACTTGGATATCGGTCGGACTCTAAAGATAAAATCTATGCTTTTTTTTAAATGAGTGGAAAAAATACATAGCTTAGGGTTCTGTGCTGAGCTTTGCATTACATTTCTCACTTGTACTGGATAATAAATAAAAAAATAACTATTCAGTATTTCTTGCTTATCATTTAAAATTGGAAATGCACAAATAATTTTATCGCTTCAGATAAACTATGAACAACTAACATAAAAAACACATTTTTTCTGCTTCAGTCACCTGGAGTAAAGAAATGTTGATTGGTTGTCATTTTTACTGAAATGTGTATGAAAAGAAGGAAATCTCAGATTGATGCACAGTCAGAATGGCTACTGCATTAGCGCTGAGCTTCAGTTAAAGTAACATTTTCTTCAGTGCTGCAGTATGGTTCACGTATGTCTTTGGATAAACACAACAGCTGTTCAGAGACCAGCGTAGTTGTGCGTTGATCCTACGGTGAGCTGCACAGCTTTGCAGACCGCCATCTCCATGTTGTACTGTGTTACTGTCACCGGGGGGCAGTGTCAAAAATGTGTAAATAAAGACGTCTGTGGGCTACTCTTGCTTCCTGTTGGTCCTTCCGCGTGCCCTGGAGTGTTAACAATGTTGAAAACATCTCTCTCTGCGGTAAACTCTACTGTTGCTGCCCTTTCTGTTCAAGCCCACTTAGGCTCTGTATATGTTTTGTAGGTTGTATACCCATAATCCTTCACTCTGTATATCCAAACACCAACGCAAACCTATACAAATGCACTACCATGAATTCTGCTTTAATAGGCTGAGTTCACTGATGGTTTGGAGCTTTTAATGGAATTTGTTGACAGTGGAAATTGATAGTGTATCACTACAATAACCACTTAAAACAGTGTGGTTTAGCTTGTATCATTACTGTAAGTGTTTTTCCATATATGCAATAATATTTTTTTCCCTACTATGGGTCACAGTTGAGAGTTAAACTACCATTTCTTCTAGTTTCCTACATAATTGAACTGTGTACAAACCTGTGCGTTCACAGGAAATAAAATGTGGGAACCGGTGTGGCCTACAACTGGTTTATACACCCAAGTCCTGCCTCTCAGAGCTGTCAAGGCAGCAGTGGGACACTGGGGGTGAACGCTGATGGAGGTTGTGGGGAACAATGGAAGGCTTGTGTCTAAATTGATCCTTTTTCCTCCGTTGTGTGTGTGTGGGCATTGATGCACGTGTGCATACATACGTTGTGTGTGCGCAGGTGTGCGTGCAAACTCTACAAGGGCCTTCAGCATTGGCTCGCAGCCAGAACTGCCGGTGGGAGCGGAGGCTGTCAAGTGTGCACTCATTTGTAGAGGCAGTTTCAAACCAAAACAAGTCTAATTTTAAGTTGTGACTAAGTTTTAAATCTTGGGTATTTTCAGAACGGCAGGATAAAACGGCGTCCCTCACCCTGCTTTTTTTTTTTTTTTCTTTTTCTGGAAATTAAGACACATACGTGCTGACATGCACTGGTGTGGAAATCTGTGCCTTTTCAAAGTGTTCAAAGAAATCCAAGTTCTAGTAATTTTATCAGCACGGTCTCCAAAGTAAACTACCTTGACACAGGTGATTCACCTCTGTGTTGGCATTAGGTTATTTTTATCTTTAGAGATAAATTGCTCTCCAAAGGTGATGAAACCGTATAACTAACTGCAGGTCTGAAATGTCTGACAGTGTCAAGAAAAAGAGACTCGTATATGTGTTTGTTATTTTTTCATCAGTGCAGTGAGTGTGTTTGTTTTTTGATAAATGGGTTCATATCAGTAAATAGCAAAGTTTTAGTATTTTTCTCAGAGCTGTGTTAATGGTCTCTGTGTGTTTGTCTGTTTGTGTCAGGGTTTGGTATATACCATCACAGATGTGGAGGAAGTCCACCTCTGGATGGTGAAGCACTTCAGTGAACATCCACTGTTCACGCGGGTCGTCGATGAAGAACTGGTACGTTGACATGCTTTGCATCGCTGTGTTTGCAGGTCATGACATCAGCATTTGGTGTTCAGCTGCTCACTCGAGCAAAGTAGTCAAAAGTAGGATATGAAATAGGAAATAGTTTTTTGGGGGGGGAATAGAAAATATTGCACTGTTTCCTTAAATAAGAAACATAAATTTTCTATTATTGATCAGAAAAGCGCAGAATGGTGGTAAGTTGTTAGAATAAGTTGCTAAAAAAAGTTACTGAACAGTGTCAGAAAGTGCACGTTTTGGTCTGCTGTACCATTAGATGTGATTCAATCCTAAATCTTCTTTTGGCAGGCCGATGATGTCATCATAAGTCGTCTGGGTACCTGCACAGAGGAAGGAAAGAAAGTGCAGAGAAATGGAGGAAAGAATTTTCTTGCAGTTTTCCGGAGGATTGAGGATCCACATGAGATTTCCTGAAATAAAGGCCTTATGCAGTCATCTGTGCGTGGGTTCAGCTGCTCTGCTGATGGATTTTTCACCAACCAGATGAATGCTGATTTTTTTTTTTTCTTTTATTAATGGACCCTTTTAATATTAGCAGATTTTTAAAAAACAATTTTGGGGGGGGCTTTTTCACATAATTTATGTTTTGTTTTTTGTTTTTTTCTCAGACTGTAAAAGAGACGTAGCACATGACAGGATCTGACGTGTTTGGTTACACTTTCTAATTTTTTGCCTCTCTTGTTCTTTAGTTTCTCTCGCCAAAAGTCAGCATGCTGGTTTTGGATGTCATGTAAAGATGTACAGTATTTCAATTAAAAAAAAACTACTAACAAAATTTTAAATGCATTTAATGACTCGATTTCTATATTCATAATTGTTTACTAACATTATTTTTAGAATAATAATGAAAATGGACAGGTTAAATATTGTTATCTAAAACCCAAACCTATCAAACTGTGCTGCAGACTTCGCTGATAACTGTGCTGCGAAAACCCTTCCCAGGTTTTTTAACTTTGGATTACAAGCAAATATTTGAAAAGGCACATAGTTTTCACTCTTAGACTGTATATAAATGATTGTCACCCACTGTAAACTCCTGTTTGGAAGCCTCAAGGCTCAAGTGACCATTGCCATCTTGGTATTTTGGAGCCAATAATTACTTTAGCAGTTTCTCATGTGCTGTCACATGAATGCCTTCAATACTTGGATGAGGTGTTGGAGTGCTAACTTATCAACTTCTTCTATGTACGTGTATCCATAGACTGTATGGCTGTATCATATCAACACAAAATAAGACTGTAGCATTTTACTCCCTTTAACTAAAACACAGAACTGTTAGACTGGCTGTTGTACCTCACTGCACAGCATGCCATATTTTTGGAGTGGATTACATTACAAATGCAGTGCATGTTCCATTATAAAGTCCAATTATATAATCAGTGAAAATGCTAACTTTGTGTTCATTTAAACATTTTAACTCAGCATTCCAAGTTGCTAGATAGTCAGGAGTCTGGAAAGGGAGCTGGGCAGATTTGAATCCCATTTGCTGCTGCAGGCTGCGGTGATTACAAAAACAGGACAGCACATGCCTTCATGTTTGAAACCCAGACACTGGAAAACTTGAGCTGAAAGCAAAGAGAAGCTCTCAAAATACATGTCGTCATCACAATTAGAAATCTTTCCACTTTTGTATCCTTTGTTCACCACATTTGGCAGTATGTATGGAGTGCAAATTCTCAAGCCTCTCCACATTTCTTTATATTTTGATTCCAAGGAGCCAGGCTTTCTTGGAATTTTATTATAGTGGTCTTAAGCAATAGTTCTCCAGGGTTTCTGGAGGTCTTTCAAACGTTTTCCTTGGACATTGGCTGCTTTTACAGTCATTTTCAGTCCTTGTATCTCCGCCTTTTTTAGTCAATTTTCTTTTTTGTAAAGCCATTTAACACTGTCGTATGAGTCTTTCAGTAATGGAAAAAAAATGCACCTAACTCAAGGGATGAATGAGCATTGTGTTTACAGATAACAGACAACTTTGCACTTTAAATTGTATCTTTAGGCACTTTGTTAATTGCAGCCTGTCACGTAAACGCATGATTTGTTCCCATTTCTTTAGTTGCCAAAGATAACACAGTTTGGCATAAAATAGTATTTTTGCACCAACAGCTTGATTTCCAAAGAGTTATTGGCCAAAGACTTGGCATATCACAGCATGGTGCATAGTATGTCCTTAAAACATTGGAGGAAACTGGATAAGTGAAGGACAGAAGGACAAAATGCAGCAGAGACCTGACACAGGACCTGAGAGATGCATCTGGACCTGCAGTTCATCCATCTAATGTTCACTGAAGCCAAATCAGAAATACACACAATGGACGGGTGGCTGGCTCAGATGGGTTTGTTGCTATGTGGTTAAGATTTGTCATAATTGTGTGATTTGCGATTTCCAAAGGAAAAGGCTGAGTTATGACAAATTACACAAGAACTGGACTGAAAATCAGCAGCAACAGGTCTGATGAATCCAAATTTGACATAAACAAGTCTTTATCAGGATGTATGGAGGACATCAGGAGAGAGGTACAACAGTGAGTGTCTACGGTCATCTGTAAAACACGGTGGAGGCTCTGTAATGGTTTGGGGCTGTATTTTAGCCAGTGGTGTTGGGGGACTAGTCAAAATGAATAGAATTACGAATGCAGAAAAAATACAGTCAGATGTTGATCCACCATGCAATATCCTCTGTAAAATGTTTTAGTGGCTTTAATTTTAGCATGAAAGTGACCTCAAACACACTGCCAATGCTGTAAAAGCATACCTGGATAGAATAACACACAATGGAGCACTATGCCTGGACCTCAACTTTATTGTTTCAGTGTGGGATCATATAAGACTGGCTGGCTGGGAGAATTCAGGATGTGCTGAAGAGTAAAGGGGATCATGGCAAATACCGACTTTCAAGCTTATTAGTATTGTACAGTTTACTTGATCCATTTTTAAAATAGTTAATCCAGTTTACCAAGTAATGTGATTGTTGTTCATGAATTTCTTTTCTTTTTCTTTGCTAAATACAGGAAGTATTACCAGCTTTTTTATGGTGTGAACGTTAATCAGTCCATCAAATGTGTGACGATGGGGAGCCGCTCTTCTGTTGACACTTATTTTAGCCATATGGCAACAAACCCATCTGAGCCAGCCAAATCAATGCATCATGCAACATTTTTATGCTATCAGGTCATCAAATAAGAGTTTTATTAAATGCTCTCCATGGGAATCCAGGAAAGGGAAACTTAATGATTTGCATTTGGCAGGACTAATAAAGTGTGGATTTACTTTTGTTTCACCCAAAAAGAATTTGTGACATCCAGATATTGGAATGTTACTGGGGTCAAAGATAAATCCCCCTGAACGTCTTTACAGAGGCAGGTGCTCGACTTATTTTGTCATAACATAATCGACAACTTAAAGCTACAGTTCTGGCACTACACAGTGATAAAACAATATCTTTAAACCAGATGAAAGATTGATGGCGCTCTTTTGTGTGTACTGTATCTTAGTTATGAAACCACCTCCAGCAGCTGACTAGCTTTGTTTAGCGCAGACATGGATAGGGCTGGTGACAAACCCTAGCCACAAGCAAAACACACTCAACAAAAATATAAACGCAACACCTTTGTTACTGCTCCCATTCCCCATGGGATGGACGTAG